ACAGCTGTCCTCTGCCAGGGGCCTTGTCTCTCCTCAGAAGAAAACGAACCCAAGACGAGCAGCCCTCTTGCCTCTAGAACATTCTCCATCTCTGGAATCTGCTGCCTGTTGAGCCCTGTCCTGCCCCACGCATATTCTCCAGGAGACATCGCTGGGCGGGGTTACCAGGATGCCACCCACCTGGTCGTAGAGTGCCTGACTGGAAGGGCTGTCCCTTCCTTGTGAGGGAGCCGGGCTGACTCCCAGCTTCCCTTCCCAGAGCTGTCACTGTGGAGCACCCTACACCTCGCTGGCACCCAGCACCTTCCCTAGACCTCAATGGAGCCGTCAGTGACTTACCAGACCCAGCCTGGATGGGGGCTCCTCAGCACCAGGGCTGAGGGCTGCGGGCAGTGCCTTGCTGTCTGCCAGCCGAGGGACTCCCACATCACCACAGAGCCTCAGGACAAGCTGGAGGAGAACTCCGGGGAGCACGGTGCTTGTCGAGGGTTCACAGTGGACTGGCCCAAGGGAAACACTGCACACTGCGCCATCATCTGAGCCACCAGGGTACGCAGAACACCACCGATGCCCAGAGAGACACTGTCAGGCTCAGTGACTCGAGTGGAGGCCAGGTGGGGGCCGCAGGCATCCCCCCTGCCCGTCAGCATCCCCGGCCACCCTGGGCACATCGGGACCATGGGGCTTGTCCCTCCCTGAGGAGGGTTCCAAGCAGAAAGTACTACACTGCCACCTCCACACAGCTTAGTGAGCACCTTTGCCAGGGGCCGCCCCGGGAAGGGTGTCCTGGGAGGTGGGGAGGCCAGTGACACACAGACTTGGGGACAGCCAGAACCCATGCAAAAGTGGGCGCTCCAAGCCCCATCCACACTTCCTTCTGACCCAAGCAAGAGCAGACCCCACCCAACTGGCCTGCCCCATCCCTCCCTTTCCCTGGCCCAGCATGATCTGGGCACTTCTGACCAACCAGAGTCTGGGACGCAGAGATGGTGCTGCTACCAGATCCTGGCCCTGGGCTGAAGCCAGTCTGGCCTTTCTCTGGGCCTTGGTTTCTCTACTTGTAGAACAAAGGGACTAGACTAGCTCAGTACTTCCCAAGTGTTCCGGTGGGCCAGAGAGACTGCACACCAGACAGCAGCTCTGAACTTGGCCAGCCCTCTGCCGAGATCCCCGAGCTCATCAGCATGTGAGGCCTCCTTTGCGTTTCCTTGGGTCCAGTGTATCTTAAGGTCTCTGGCTGCTTATGAAGTACTCAGTACAAAACACCACACAAAAAACCATGACCCAGAGGGCTAGGGTCCCTTCCGGGGTCCACCTCAGCCCTGTACAGAGGGCTGGAAGCCACTGGCACTGGAAAGCTGGCAACCCTGAAGGCTGTGCAAATTCCTCAGCCTCTCTGATCCTCAGTTTCTCCAAGGGTAGAGCTAATGGTGCTCAAGGGCTTCTCTGAGATGAGGGGCTGCAACAGTCCAGATGTTCCGTGGGGCTCCCTAACCAAGAGAAAACACCCATCTCTTGCTGTCACAGCCCCAAGCCCAGAATTGGCACTGGGAGCACCTGCCCCAAAGCAGAAAGGGGCTGGCACAGAGCTGTGGGAGGAGGCCAGATAGGGAAGAGTGTGACCAGCTAGGCTTCCTCCTAACCTGGCCGTTCCCTTGAACACAGTCAGGGACAAGCAGACTGCCATGCCAGGGCCAGTACCCCACACAGGAATAGCCCTGTCCCCGGCCTGCCCAGGATGCTATCTCCCCTCTGCTCCAGTTCCCAGGCAGCCCATGGTGCCCTCTGCGACTGACTGCCAATTGCCGCCCTTCCTTCCCTCCCCATTCCTGGCCTCCTTCATTCCTGCGGGCAGGTGCTGGCCCCCAGGGGCTTGGGGACCTCTTCAGGAAGTTCTCAGCCGCCAATGCAAATGAGAGCCACTCCCTGTTATTGAAGAGCAGCCACTGCAGGCACGGATCTGTCTGCTCCGCGGGCCTTAATCCCTGGGCTCTCTGAGTCACTGGGGTGCAGGGAGCAGGGTCTAGAGGCCAAGACCAAGTCTGTGAGCCAGGTCTGGATGAGCCAAAACCTAAAGCCCCAATGGGCTGGAACAGCATCCCAGGGCTGGAAGTCGGAACTCCCCAGAGGCTGCAGGAAAGGATCCACGCTGGTGTTTCGTTACCTCTGAGGCTCCATTGCAGCTGGTGCCCACTGGAGGGTAAACATCGGGGTGACAGCCCCAGAACACTTGATCGCCTCTGTGTCTCGCAGACACGGTTGCAGTCTGGGCTCTGGGCGGGGCTGTCAGGGGCTGCAAGAGAGACCTTGGTGGAGGAAGCAGATTTGGCCACCCACGTGGAAAAGCAGCCAATCCCACCCCAAAGAGGAGGAGCAACTCCCAGGAGCCAGAGGAGGCTCAATGGGTCACCTGGAGAAGTTCATACACAATCACCTCCCCAAAGACCTGCAGCACACAAGGCTGCTGAGCCCCTTTGGACCTCCTGGCCCCTTGTTGCTCGCCTCTGCAGGGGCTCTGCAGTTCAGCTGCAGCTTTTTGCTTATGGGAGCCCAGTCTCCATGTACCCCCTGCCCAGAGAGACTGCTTGCAAAACCTGGGGGTCCCACACAGACCTGAAGCTCATGCTTGCCTGTTCCAGAGCCTTGTGTTCAAGTCCAGCCCTTCTTAGTGCCCTGCAGGCCTTATCCAGGGTATAGAACCTACCCACTTTGGCATGTATTCTGGCTGTCCCCAGGTCTGTGTGCCACCGGCCTTCCCACCGCCCAGGATACCCTTCCCGGGGTGGTCCCTGGCAAAGCTGCTTACTGAGCTGTGTGGAGGTGGCAGTGTAGTCCTTGCTGCCTGGCACCCTCCTCAGGAAGGGACCAGCACTGGGGTCCTGATCCAGCAGAGTTCAGCTCTGCCTCCTAGAACCCTGAGCTCCATGGGGCCATGCCCGAGCATGCTGGGCTCTGCTTGCTGAGGATGCCTCCCTCTGCACCATCTTCTGCCAAGTTTCTCCCCCTCCCACACCAGGCCTGTGTCCCAAGCAAGCACAGGAAGACTCCAGCCTGCTGGATCTTCTGGGTTAGCAGCATCCCATCCCTTCCCGAAAGTCAAAGGGGCGCCAGTAGGATGCCTGTCCCTGCCAAGTGGTGCGGTCTTTCTGAGGTAGGGGCCAGGGTGCACAGAAGGGTCTTTCTTGGAAAGTGCCAACTGGTCCTGATTGCAGGACTAAGAGCCACAATCAGGGGCTCTGGGAAGCACAGGTCCCTGCCTATTCCCTGCAGGACATTGCTGTGACACTCAAGAAAAGCTACAGGGAGAAACACAGCACTAAGCTCAGGAGTTGTGGGTGGGGCTGAGCCTTGGAAACCATAGACTGTGGTTGCCCTGTTGGGAATGTGTGTGTCCCACACAGGAGACAGGGTGGCCCCGAGCACTAGGTTGTTCTGCTCAGTCACTCAGGTGGCAAAGTGGGGCGCAGCACCCTGACCTCTGGACAGCTACCCAGAGTGCACGTGTCCTCATCCCCGGGATGCCCTAGACAATTGTCAGCTGTCCCTGTTGTGCAGAAGCTGCCCACCCCAGCCCGGTCTCTGGGCTGCTCCAGGGCCTCCAAGTCCCCTGTCACTGCCCAGCTCCCATTGGCACCTATGCCCGTCTCAGGGTGCCAGCTCATGCCCTGCCTGATTCCTAGGCCATGCCTCCCACTGTGCGGGGTGTGGTCCCTCTCAGCCCTGCACTGCTACTCCTGGCCCACTGAGCACTGCTTTCTGCCCCACTGTGCTCCTCTTCTCCTGCCTTGTGACCTGTTGTTGTCCATCCTGGGACAGGCAGAGCAGGCACCTACACAGCATGGCCCCAACCCAGCACAGGTGTACTGCATGGTAGGTGGCAGGCGGTCAGAGGCTCAGGAACAGCTTGATAGATGAGCTTGCAGGGCCAGGTGGACAGGAGGAAGAGACTGGAGCAGCACAGCCTCGCCAGGCCACGCTGCACACACAGCTCCCCACAGCCAGCTCTCCCACGCTGCTGCAGGCTGAAGCACAGCGGGGCTGGGCTGCGCATGGATCCCGGGCCTCCGAACCCCATGCAGCCCTGAGACCTAGGGTGCTCTACACCTCTGCCATGTGGGTCAGAGGCCCTGTTCCTTTGTCCCGGTACAGAGAGAGGGTGGATATTCCCACAGGGTAGGCCTGCTCAGGATGCCTGTGAACAGGAATCCAGGGGCCCCCTTGAGCCATGGCCATCCTGCCTGCAGGACAAGCCGCTCAGCAGGAGACTGACTCGGGTGCTTCCAGGAGGGGACAGAGGGATGGGGTGCAGCCGTTCACAGACCGCAGCTTCAGGAGCACAGGCTTAGGGTCTCAGGGCCTTCCACCTACAGAGCTGGCCCAAGTAAGGGTGAAGTGGCCACTGCATTGAGAACCAGGGTCCTCACAGGGCTGTGCTTGCAACTACTCTGCCTAGTGTGCATCACCAGGACTGGCCGGCATCTGGCCTCCACTCTGTGACACCATCACTGCTGGTTCCTGGCCCTACCCCTGCTCCAGCTGTGAAGGGCATGATCAGGAGACAGGAGAGCTGGCTCTGTGCCGGCCCACTGTCCCCAGAGCTGATCCTGTGTGTGGGGCCAACACAGTGTACCTGACTGCACCGCAAGTCACCCTGGTGACCACTGCCTGGACATTTCTCCAGCCAGCTCTACTCTTCAAGTCCAACTTTCATACCCTTAGCACCTTCCTAAGCAGTTTGAAGTAGAAACAATCTAAAGCTCAGCCAAAGTAAGCCTTCGAAACAGGAGTTAGAAGACAAAACTGAAGTAAGCAGTGGGGAAATCATAGAAGAGAAAAGTGGGACAAATGTGTTAGAGCTTCCTGGGAGCTAAGGTAAGGTGGGAAATGTTGGACACTCCGTGTCTTTCAGAGCTGACAGGTAGCTATGCAGAGCCAAAGCCATGAGCTCTGGGGCCCGATTGCCTCTGAGGTTCCCACTGTACCGGCCCCTGTGTCCACAGGTTGTTCTGTCACTGAGGCAGTGAGGATTCTGGGGAGCAAGCTCATGGACTACCAGCAGCAGTTCACCACCCAGCACCTGCTGGCCCTCTGTGACTACTTCCACAACACCTTCATCCGCCACTACCGGCTCTACCAGTATGTCCTGGGCCAGGACCAGGATATCAACCTGAGTGTCACCCACCTGGAGGTGTGCACACCGCCCCAGCCCCTGCCGCTGGTGGAGGGCACACACAAGGACACATGGAGGCATGAGCAGCAGGTGGCTGCACTGGGGGCTGCCGAGGAGCAGAAATACAAGGACGTGAGGCTCCTGAAGGAGGCGCTGCAGGCAGAGGAGGCGCGGCTGCTGGAGAGGACATTTGAGCACGCAGGGGCCCAGAGCACTGAGGGGACACAGCCAGGTCAAGGCCTGTGCAGAGAGGTGAGCCCTGCCCTGTTCTGCCAGGTTGGACTCTGGGACACAGCCCACCCTGTGCATGTGTCTGGTGTCTCCGTGGGCTCTGGTGGACTTTGTCATACAATGTCCCTGCCAGCAGGAGTCCATGTCTTTGCTTTAGTGAGGGGGGAATGAAGCACAGAGACAGAGTTTACCAAACTCACCAAGCTGAGTTCACAGTTGGTCTGAGGTCCCCAGCTCCGGAGACAGACATGGTCTCTCCTGTGTGCACCTCCCAGGGAACTGACAGGCAGCCTGGGGAAACAGCCACATGGCCCATGTCTCCAGGACACTTCTGGGACACCAGAAGCCTGAGGGAGGGGGCAGAAGATGAGTGGAGGCAGGGCTTCCAAGCACAAGGGCTCTCTGAAGCCATTTCCAGTCCCCTCCACATGACCATGGCTGCTCACAACTGCCAAAGGAGGCGGGACCTGGTCCTCCTGCCTCAGCGACACCGACAGCACCCAGGAGGCCAATGGATAGGACCCTGCCAGGGTAGAGAAGGACACGGACAGGGAGGGCTGGCAGGCAGGGGCTCAGCTCACCCCAGAGCCCTGCTCTGCACCTGTGTCCCCGCAGGCACTAAAGCACCTGGTCCAGGAGGCTGCCAGCATCCAGACCAAGAGCCTGGGGCAGCAGCTGCAGTGCCAGATCCAGGCAGCTTTCGACATCCTGGACCTGCGGCTCCAGAGGCAGATGCTGAGGCTCAGTGCGCCCCAGCCCTTCCCACCCCCTGGCCCCGGACAGCAGGGCCTGGAGGATTCCATCAGGTCCCACAAAGGCCAGCGAGGGAAGAAAGCCATGGCGAAGTAGCCTGAGCCCCAGCGACCACTGCCCTCGGTGACTGGGAGGGGAGCTCTGGTGTGCACTCAGCACCCACTGACCAGAGGTTCCAGTGATTAAAAGAAACAGAGCCACATGCATCTCTGGTCTGTCTTGGACACCTCTCACACCTTCGCTGGTCCAGCCCGTTCAGATTTGCATTGTATGGCCACGGGCAGGGCCTGTTCTCAGTGATCAAAGGCAAGCTCTAGAGGCCAGCAAGGGGTTCAAGCAGGTAAGAGTGAGGGGAACCCCAACACCTGGCTGGTAGAAGCACTGACCGCAGGAGCTCAGGGCCAGGATCTTCCGTGTCCCGAGTGAGGCCCCCATGCCTTTCCTGCCAATGAGCACAAAAGCTGCAGTTCCTGGGCCCAGGTGATGGTGGCTCCCAAAGCAGGACCTACGAACCTTGCGTGCTGTCACTTACTAAGCAAGCCAGGGGATGCGGCAACCTGGCTGGCCAAGGACCAGCTGCTGCGACACTGCTCACTGTGCACAGGGCCCAGGAGGTTAAGAACCCAACTTTAGCCTGGCCTCTCTCCTCTCCTGGGCCCCAGTGTCCCCATGCCACCCTCAGGACCCAGAGGTCTGGACCCTTCACTGCAGGCCCTTCAGACCCAGAGCTGGCTGTGGTAAGCCTGGCACTGTCCTCTCTAGTGGCTCTGTACCTCCTCAATGAAAGGGACCCTCTCTCCTGGGCACCCACTTGTGTGAGGGACCCAGACTGGTCTGATTAATCCACTTAGCACCACCCCAAGAGTGAAGGAGAAATCAATTTCCTTGGTGCCCTCCTCAGGGCTGTGTCCCCACAGAGCAGGGCTGTGGTCTGAGTGAGGCTTTCTGCCACACAGAGGAGCTGCAGAGCCCAGGATGACTGTTTATGGTCAGAAGCTGGGCAACCTCCAGGGAAACCCTACTGGGGATGCTGAATCGCCTTCCAGTGGACCCCATGTCAGGGCATTGCCCACTTAGGATTCATAACATGTGAAGGTGGGGCACCCTGACCAGGAAAACATCAGCTGTACCAGCAGTAGCCTGGGATGCCCATTGGAGCCCAAGGATAGAGGGGTCATATGTTCCAGGTTTCCATACAGTCATCTCCTAGGCCACACTGTTGTCCCCTGCTGGGCTTGCTCTAGCTTTTGTTGTCCCAGCCAGGCCTCTGTTGAATGAAGGACAATTATGACTGGTGTGAGAAGACAGCTTCTTCAGCACATGAATCTGGGGTGCATGTGTCTCTTGGCGTGACAGCCCTTGCAGACCTCTAGGGACCAGCCGGGGGCCCTCCCTAGGACATGAGATCAGGCAGCCACAGCCGCTGAGAAGAGCTGCAGCCTGCAAGAGAAGGATCCAGCTCCGCTGCATGTGCCTCCTGCCAGGGCGGCAGCAGCAGTGGGCGCTGGGAGCACGCGCAGGGCACGGGAGCTGCAGGAATTCAGCCCTGGCCATGCGAGGTGAGAGCCTACAGCTGCTGATCTTACTTCTTCTCATCCCTTCGTTGTTCAATAAGCCCTTTGGTGGCAATGAGTTTGAGGAGGAAAAGGAGCACAAGTGGCTTTTCCTTTTCCAACGAGGTGAATGTGCACCACACAACTACCCCGGTTAACCACACTCTGGGGGAGTCCTGGCCATGTCCCTGACTGGAATACGAAGGTACCAAACAGCTTGAGCATCAACAGAAAACTGAATTTCAGTAAGTGGTCCCCATGTCACCTGATCAGCACCACCACCTTCCTGGAATCTGCTTCTCTGTTGCAGGGGGACCATCTTCCAACTTGATTAATTTTTTCTGATATTTCCTCAAAACCTTCAACACCAGACCAAAGTGCTTGCTTTGGGGGTGCTAACACAATCAGAAGCACCAATACATCTTAGCCCCTCGATAAAAGCAACATTCTCTTTACATTCAACACACACACACACACACACACACACACACACACACACAAAAGTCCATGGAGCTGGAGCATGTGTAGAGTTGGGGACCAACAAAATAGAGAAATGAGGATGGAAGTGCAGGCAGGGAAGAAGGCAGTAACCAACCTTAAATAATGGTGCGGGCTCCTGCCTGGATTGTGCTGGGTGTGGGGATGCTCACATGCTGTGTCACACGTGCTACCTGACCAAGCACTTGTACCAGGCACTGCTGGGCACTGAGGGAGGACTTAACAACAGAAAGCCAGGCTGGGTCCCCACACCCACCAGTGACTACACAAGGTCCTTCTTGACAGGGATGCTCCATCTGAAGGCACCCAAGAACTTCAATGCCAAGGATATAGGGTGCCCACAGTATGCAGGACAGAGAAAAGACATAGTTAGTGCCCTACAGTGGGCAGTCCTTTCTCCTGAGGGCTCCCAGCCACCCTGCCTCCCTCCCTGACCAATGGGCGAGCTCCTCCCCCAGGTGGAACGCAGTCATTGTTCCCGGTGATTGGACCAGACACAGGCACCTGACTCAAACTGGATCAATCAAAGTGCTTTATTCTTACCCCAGCCACACACCCCTTCATGATGGCCAATCCAGGGATCTTTCTCCTTAACTGTTCTCCAACCATGTCCCTTGGTTGTGAGGCTCTAAGGATTCTAGGATGTCAGAGCAGACTATGGCAGAGCTGCCAGCCTGAAAGAAGGAAAACAGCAGGCAAAGAGAAGCAAGGGAGGAACAGAGAAAGGAGAGAGACTGAGAGATTGGGTTCTTAATCCAGCTACCCTGGGGGCAGCTCCACCCCGCTAGGCAGTGGTTTGGTTACCTGAGTCAAAGTGCAACGCCCATTATTTGACTGAGGTCAATAAGATGGGTAGGGCAGGGAAGACTTCAACCTGACAGATGAGGAAACTGAGGCTCAGGCAGGCGGAATGATTGCACAAGGTCACTTGACTAATAGAGGGTGAAGTCGTGACAGAAGCAGCCAAACCTCCTACTCACCTAGGTGACAGCTCTTCTCCTCTCCCCTCCCTTCCTCACAGTGCATGGCCCCTGTAGCCAAGACTGCCCCCTGCCCAGGAGTCTCCTTCCCCGATGGTGCCCCTAGATCAGGTGCACACACACAAGGGGCTCAGGGGAGTGGGGGAAGGGATGGCAGGCTGCCTTCCTTACCTCTCCGTCCTCAGAAAATGCCTGCCCCTCCTCACTGGCAGGGTCTCTGCCCCCAAAGCCAGAAGTCCAGGCCACACCTGCCAGGGGAGTCCTCCAAGAGAGCTCCTGGCCTGCTTGTGAACCATGTGACAAAGTACCTGAAGGCCTCCTGCTATGTCTTGTAAAGTTCTCCAGAGTTCTTTTGTTCTTACTCAAAAGGACACCTAGACCACCATAGTGGCCAGAGTTTTCAAAGGAGTGAGGTGACCTGTGTTCTTCCTATGGCCCCTGCCTGCCCTGATATCCTAAGATGCCAGGGTTTCATGTTGCATGGGTCACAGTGGGGTCCAGGTCACACGTTTTCAAAGCTTGACCAGGCCCCAGCACTGTGGCACTGAGGGACTCAGGAGGTGGCGCTGAGGTTTTCTTCTGAGGAACCCCATGCTTCCGAGTTTGGTGAACCGGCCCTGGCCAGACAGGTCGACAGAGGCCTTGCTGCTTCTCTAGAAAGTAAGGAGCTGTCAGGCAGCAGGCGGGCGGGCAGAACCACCTGACTGCTCAAGAAGCACTGACTGGGCCAGGCAGGGCCAGAGGGATGTGTTGGGGGTGGGGCCAGCTTGCTGGTGGCGTGGCCTCATGGCTGCCCTTGGATGTGGTGTCCCTAGGACCAGCTGGCGGGCCCTGGGGAATGTAGGAACTTCCCGGTGGGAGGGCTGGGGTTCTTGCACCCCAAGTTCCAGAAGGGGACCCAGGGGCCCGTCCTGAGGCTGCCTGCTCACAGCCCAGCCCGTTGCTATTTTGGCTTCTGCGTTTCCTGAGGTGCTGCATGTCCTCTACTGGACATGATGTGCTGTACGGGGACAGGAAGTTCACTCTGCATAGTCACAGTCCAGCAGGACACAGGACAGTGTCCCCCAAAGCCCTGCACATTGGCAGGCCTGGGCACCCCAGGGCCTTTGCCTCTCCCTCCTGGGAAAAGACATTTCTGCCTCAGCGCCACAAGCCAGTTCCCAGCTGTGGGTTGGAGCACAGCCGCTGAGTCACCCTCGGCCCCCTGGCGAGTCACTTCTCTCCTGGGTACTGGGGAAATGAAAGTGGCGGAGCCTGAGGCCTGGCCACCTGGGTGCGGCCCGGATCCCCAGGTGGCCTTTCCCAGCAAGGCTGACTGAGCAGGAAGGGCCAGGATGACATGGGGAGCCAGGACGAGATCTTTGACATCTTTGACGAAAGGCCAGGGTGGCCTGTGTTGGCCTGCGTTGCCCTCCCCGGAGAACCAGCAGGGGGTAGTGCTGTGACTGCCATTTAGGGAAAAACCAAGGGCAGGGTGTAGGGTGAGCTCTGTGGCCCTCTGCCAGAAGAGGGGACTGCAGAAAGGTACCTGCAAGACATGCAGCAGCCACTACTCAGATAGGACCACAGGTTCGCTTCTGCAGAAGTTTCCAAGACAATGTAATCCAAAATTCTAAAAGAAATGTAAATGCTTGTATGGGCACAGGCATGGATCTAGGAGGAAAAGTCTAGAGGGGACCCGAGGAAACAGCCCCACTCAGAGCTCTCTCTGTCTCTCCTCCCCCTCCTCCCCCATGGCTCTGCCCCCCCAAGTTTGCTGCATGGATTTAGATGTTCTGCAAAGTAAATTACAACCGGTAATTTGCAGTTGGGCCTGGAAAAGGTATTACTAGGGAGGGGCAACCAACACTGTCAGCACCAGGCCCCATAACCTGCCCCAGGAGATTTGGTGGCCCGTGTGTGTCCTGTGTGACACACGTGCTCTCCCTCCCCCTGCTCTCCTGAGGAAAGGCTTCTCAGTCACTCTGATTCCTGACTGGTGGCCAAGGTAGGGTATGGACACAGCCTAGGAAATAGAAAGTCTCCAGTGGAGAGTTACACTTTTCCAGGATCAATGGGAGGCGAT